GGTATGGCAAGGAAATATATTTAGGAGTTAAATATTTTCTTGTTGTCTCATAATGTTATGCCAGAGTCAGATTGAAAAGTAAGTCACAATATATAGGGTCAAATAAAACCCATCTGATGAGAATTTATCATTTGTAGGGCATGACTCCCCAGCCCCCTTAGGTGGGAATTTGGGCAAGATTAAAAAATCAGAGCTTAGTCCTCAGTGTGATTAACCAGTTTGTTTCAAGCCACATTGCTTGGCATTTCTCAATAATGTCTGAAATTTTTAGTTTAGGTTTCTTCCACTAGCTAAGAGATTTTGAGGTAACTTGATATTTACATTTGAGTGATAACTTAGAAAGTGTCTAAAATCCCTGGTGTTTTTCTCATAACCACTTCGTACTTTGTAATTGGTAATAACATTTTATTTATAAAACTTCCCCCCCCCCCCCCGCCTTCTGTTTTCCATAGACCTGAATTTTCTATGTTTATCACTTTATTTCTCCTTCAGGGTAAAATATTTAAAAATACAGTTCTGTGTGCCTTAGAGCAAGAAAACTCTCAACAAAAGAATTTGTCCTTGCCCAGGAAAGTTTTGCTTTCCAGTGAAAGAGAGAGAGTTTATTTGACCAGGATAGCTCATTTTCTAATAATGGTAGATAACTAATGGTAATAATTTCAGAAATGCTTCCTTTCCATAGACAGAACTTTTACTTCCCTCTGGGAAAGCAGGGGAATAGGTCTTTGAACCAGACTACAGTTTTGGGTAATGGAGCTATATAAGGGAAAGAGATAAGTTAAATATGGGGAATAATATTCAGTGAATGAAAATCATATTTGCAGGAACATTATTCAAATGAATCATTTGTTTAAAATTAAATAATTTATTATTTAAATATATGGCAGTAATTTTTGGCATTTAAAAATTTTATTTAGTTTCACAGTATCCTCTCATTCTTCTGCATGCCCAGTAATTTTATATAGTACTGGTAAAGTACCTATTATTGCACTAAATTAGGTGGTGAGAACATCTGTGATATAAGCTTTCATTCTGCCTTCATTGTGTCAGTAAACATTTCCATATTCTAATTAGATTCTTTTATTTTGAAGTTTATTTTAAAAATCTTGCAAGGTCCCTTGAGTTAACTGAAAATATCCTGGAATATTGCAAAATCATGTTTGATCATTGTTCCCTCTAGCTTTCTAGTTCTTCAGGAGGCCTTAGATACCTTAAAATCTGTTAATACCGTAGAATCAGTTAATGTCATTTTCTAATTTGACAGAACAGGTGATGGGATGGAAGGATGTTGCATAAGTTACACTATATGAGTTTTGGAAAAGAAGTATGGAATTGCCATAGATGAAGGCATTAAAGTATTGAAAATACTAAATATTTAGATATTTTGCAACTTGTAACATTTGACTTTCCTTATTAGTTGCTTATTAGTTTTGTATATCACATTGACCCAAACCTTATTAATCACAATTCATTAAGTAAGTCACCCAGTGCTTTCATTATTCTTTATTCGGTAACCATAGCTGTTGGCAACTGGTGACTTTCAGTGGGAGGGAGGGAGGGAGGATACAAAGAAAGATGATAAGAAATTTGAAATTAAGGGATAGAATAAAATTATGACAGTTAAAAGCAGGTCCCATCAAAGACATGATGGCAGGTTAGAACACCTTTCTTTTTTTGGAAAAACAACATCCAGTTTTTATTCTTAGATATCATTTTTTAAGATGACAAGCATCTCGCTACTTTTTTTTGTCAATCTAAAATATAGTGTATTAGGTCACGATTTCTCTGAGTTACACTTCAATCTCCTTGAGGAGATTTAAGAAATGTCTTGGTATCTTCAATATTGTAGTTACAAGCCACCTTAGTTGTTAAAGTTTTGAAATACTGTTCTCAAGTTTTTGAAATATATCTGTTTGAGGAGATTACATCCCACTATGTGTTCAGGTAAGTATTCATTGGAAACACTTTGGTAAAAATGTCACTTGAAGGCCACGTGACTTAAAGTGGAAAGGGGATATTGTATTGTAACCTTTATGAGGCATGTTCTCTGACAGTTTTTGATACCATTTTATAACTCACATAGTAGATACATTTTTAAAGCTATAAAACAAGTTTGTGGCATTCCTTTTGACTGCCTGATGAGTTATTTTTTTTACTTGCCTACATTCTCCCTCATTATCTACTAAGTACCGTTTATGTATTCAGTACTGTAGCCACTAGTGTCACAAAGTATGTACCTCAGAATAACTACTCTATAGTCATGCCAAAAGCTAGAAATAATTCAAATGTCTATTAAGATTAGAATAGATAAACTGTGGTATATTTATATAATATGTGAAAGGAAAATAGACCTCAGGACCCCAAAATCACTAAGCCAAGGGAAAAGTCAAGCTGAGAACTACATCAGGCAAACCTTAGTCCTATATTATTCCTAAATAAGATGGCTGAAAAGATAACAGCTACATACCTCCTTCACAATTTGCCCACAAAGAAATTCCTTGTGATCCTCACAATCTTTACCCTAAAACTAACTTCTGTTGAATTTCACTCTGACATTTAAACAGATAGCTTATGTTCATAGGTGCTGGACAGAAAGCCATCCCTCTGGGCTGGGCGTGGTGGCTCACACCTGTAATTCCAGCACTTTGGAAGGCCAAGGTGGGCAGATCACTTGAGGCCAGGAACTGGAGATCAGCCTGTCCAACATGGCGAAACTCTGTCTCTACAAAAAATAGAAAAATTAACTGGGCATGTTGGCACATGCCTGTAGTCCCAGCTACTCAGGAGGCTGAGTCATGAGAATCGCTTCAACCTGGGAAGCTGAGGTTTCAGTGAGTGGAGATGGTGCCACTGCAATACAGCCTGGGCGACAAAGGAGAGACTGTCTCAAACACCCCTCCCCTGCCGGCAAAAAGGAAGTCATCCCTCTGCTAACCTCAGACAAATGCACATCTGATTACTTCCTCTGCCCTATTGTTTATGTGAAAATGCAGATTCACTGAGCCAGACTAAACTGTGTATTCAGTAGAAGGCTGATCAGGTACTCAAAAGAATGCAACCTTTTGTCTGTTATCTACCTATGACCTGGAAGACTTCGCCTACATCCACCTCCTGCCCCCTCCCCACCACCACCCTGCCCCCTAGAAGTTTAGAGTTGTCCTGTCTTACCTCCATCAGAACCAGTGTACATCTTACACATATTGATTGATGTCCCATGTCTCCCCAAAATGTATAAAAGTAAGTCATACCCCGACCACCTTGGGCACGTGTGGTGAGAACCTCCTGAGTCTGTGTCTTGGGCGCATTCTTAACCTCGGCAAAATAAACATTCTGAATTGGTTGCGATGAGACCTGTCTCAGATATTTTGTGTTCACAAATAGAATACAACAATGAGAATAATGGGCTATTTAGACTCTGATTACACATAACACTAATGGATGTTAATAAAATTGAAACCAGACACACAATATATAGTATTCAATTTATATAAAGTTCAAAAGTAATCTTGTGTATTAGAAGTCAAGAAGTTACTTTTACTTGAGGGTTTTTTTGTTTTTGTTTTTGTTTTTGTTTTTTTGAGAGGGAGTCTTGCTCTGTCGCCCAGGCTGTAGTGCAGTGGTGCGATCTCGGCTCACTGCAAGCTCCACCTCCCGGGTTCACGCCATTCTCTTGCCTCAGCCTCCAAGTAGCTGGGACTACAGGTGCCCGCCACCACGCCCAGCTAATTTTTTGTATTTTTAGTAGAGACGGGGTTTCACCATGTTAGTCAGGATGGGCTTGATCTCCTGACCTCATGATCCACCAGCCTCGGACTCCCAAAGTGCTGGGATTACAGGCGTAAGCCACCGCACCCGGCCTACTTGAGGGGTTTTGACTGAAAGGAGACACAGAGAATCTTGTGAAGTTCAGGTTATCTTCTGTTTCTTGATTTGGGTGCTATTTACTAGAATGCATTCACCTTGTGAAAATTCATTGAACTGTAACTTATATTTTGTATCCTTTTCTGAATGTAGTCTTGTATCAACAATAATGTTTAAGTAGGGCAAGAAAAGCTTATGGGCAGAGAAGAGATTACTCAGGAGGTAAAAGAGTAAGAGGAGAGGAGTGACAGAACATTGGGGAACAGAAAAACCACACAGACATTCGTATTTCCCTTCCCATTTTTCTTAGGACCCTTTCCAGCTTTTTGCCTGAAAGCATTGCAGAAGGTAAGAATAATGTTAAGAATAAAATTTCTGTTAGAGAATGGGATTGCTCTTGTAGCATTTCTGCATAGAGGCTGTTTCCAAAGGGACACTTGGACTATATTTATTCTTAGATTTTGAAAAAGTTAAGAGTTGGAGAATGAAGAAGCATGTGATGCAAAAGACTACCTGGAGGCAGGAGATGGTGCAAAATACACAGCAGCATTTTTTCTAAGCTTTCCTATTGTATTGGAACACAATAAATATACTGTAATTATGCCATTATCTCTCAGTGATATATACTGAAATGATACGCTTTGTGAATTATTTGGTTTGAGAAGGAGGGAAAAATGAAAGGAATTCCATACTGATCATTTCCTGAAAGAGTGCTTTTAGAAATGGGGAAGTGGCCAGGCGGGGCGGCTGACGCCTATAATCCCAAGCACTTTGGGAGGCCGAGGTGGGTGGATCATTTGAGGTCAGGAGTTCGAGACTGGCCAGCATGGTGAAATCCTGCCTCTACTAAAAATACAAACATTAGCCGGGCATGGTCGTGGGCGCCTGTAGTCTCAGGTAATTAGGAGGCTGAGATATGATAATCGTTTGAAGCCGGGAGGCAGAGGTTGCAGTGAGCTGAGATAGCCCCACTGGACTCCAGCCTGGACAACAAGGTGAAACTCTGTCTCAAAAAAAAAAGAAAGAAAGAAATGGGGAAGTATTCCCAGTTCCACAGAAGGGTCCATTACTACAAGCCTGTTAACACATAATGAGTGCCTATTCATCTGTACTACTGCATACTTATTTCTCTTTTCCAGAAATGGCAAAAAGTCTTTTGAAGACATCCTCTCTGTCTGGAAGGACAAAATTGCTACATCAAACAGGATTGTCACTTTATAGTACATCCCATGGATTTTATGAGGAAGAAGTGAAAAAAAAACTTCAGCAGTTTCCTGGTGGATCCATTGACCTTCAGAAAGAAGACAGTGGCATTGGCATTCTTACTCTGAACAATCCAAGTAAAATGAATGCCTTCTCAGGTATTAGGGATCTTTTTATCCCTGAGGAATGACACTAAATCTAACCTGTTATCACATGTTTTTTTATCCTTGCTCTGGTGACAGAATATTTTAAAGTCCTGGTACTCTTGGTAGAACATGAGAAAAATAACAAAAACAACAACTCTGTAATACGAACCAGAAACACTTTAAGTAATTTTTAATAATTATGGATATTTGAATGCTTTCAGAAAACTCATTAATACAGATAATAATAAAAAGGAAACCTAAATTAATCTTGATTATATTTTCCATTGAAATTCATGAACTGTTTAATAACTTCTTTGTTTTCAGCTAATTCTTCTAGGTAACAAGGAGGAAGAGGTTTCAAAGAGTTCCTGAAACTAAAGAGAAAAGCCTGTTAATGAAAAGAATTATTTAGCTTAATATTTTTCTATGAATTGAGATAAAATCATTGTTAGTTTTTAACCTTTTAATTCAATGGTTACAGAAGAAACACGGCACTTGTCTAGCTGTGGACTCTTCCCTAACTCTTAGATACTCGTGAATGCCTTCTATTTTCTAGTCAACATTCTTAGCATATAAGAATTTTATATTTAAGAGAACTGAAGACGCAGGACATGTGGTACTTTGTAATTTTTGCTGAAGCTCAAATTTGATTATGCTACAACTATGTTATGCAAGAGCTAATGAGTAGCCTTGTTGAATATTCACCACTCCTATTTTCAAGTTGATTTTACTAATCTCACCTTTTCAGTTATGCACTTCATGATTATAATCTTTAGTAGCATTTGAAATTTTGGGGCTCAGAAAATCTCACAAAATTTTCATTTATCTACTTTATATACACTCATACTATAGACATAATTCAATAGTCTGTAAACTTTTTGTAAATTACCAGTGGTGAGTCTTTAAACCCAAGATGACTTTTCTCTCCACTTATCAGAATTCAGAGAGATTTCTCTGTACCATTGCCGACCAATGGAAGCATAATGTAAGAAACAAAGGTGAGCCACTTGCACAATTTTAAATATTCTAGTCGCCATAGTTTAAAAAAATAAGAAAAGGTAGAATTAATTTTAACAATTCACTTATAACTCAGTATATCCAAAATATTTTTTTCAATATGTCACTAATCTAATAATTATGAGGTATTTTTCTTTTTATTTTCATACTAAGTCTCTGAAATCTGATATTTATTTTATACTTATGACACATCTCAATTTGGACTAGCCACATATCAAGTGCTCAATATATACAGGTGACTAGTGACTACCTTATGAGACTTTGTAGTTCTATATGTTCTGTTGGTTTAGAGAATAAAAACCAATTTAATATTAGTCCAGGAAAAATAGAAATTGAAAGGTAAAATTTCTCTAGAAGGTTAAATTTGGATCAATAGTGATGATTTGTTTCTGAAAAGTTACAAATAATTTTTCATTCAATTAGAAACAAATATTATTTTGATGCATAATATATAAAACTAATAAAAGGAGACGTGCTTTGATTTGGGTAATGATATTTGGTGAAGTTGGATTGAGAGAGGATGAATGAGCACTCAGGGCCCTTGTTTAAAAATCATTCAGTTAGATATTCTTTAAGGTCTCTTCCATCTTTTGAGGTTTACTTTGCAAAGTTGAAAAGATTAGTTTAATAGTAACTACTGGTATGGATTTTTCTTATTCTCATAGCCAGCGTTTCAGCATCATAGGAAAGGGTTAAAAAAAATCAGCACCATAGGAAAGGTTTTAAAACAAAGGCCAGCATTGTTATTTATTTATCTATTTTTATTTTATTTATTTATGTTTGAGACAGAGTCTCGCTCTATCACCCAGCCTGGAGTGCAGTGGTGTGATCTCAGCTCACTGCTAGCTCTGCCTCACGAGTTCACGCCTTTCTTCTGCCTCAGCCTCCCGAGTAGCTGGGACTACAGGTGCCTGCCACCACGCCTGGCTAGTTTTTTTGTATTTTTGGTAGAGATGGGGTTTCACCATGTTAGCCAGGATGGTCTCGATCTCCTGACCTCATGATCCGCCTGCCTCCACCTCCAAAGTGCTGTGATTACAGGTGTGAGCCACCGCACCTGATCTGTCTTTAAGAAGCTTAAATATTACGAATGATTAAAGGTCCATATTAACCTATACAGATTTATTCTTATACTAAAAGTGTGGGTTTCTTCTTTCCCTTACTAGACTGTAAATCACTTGAAAGCAAAAGAACGATATTTCTAAAGCATCTAGGACATCCTTGGAAAGGGTTACAGTTTTAAGTGCAGTCATTTGTTGCTTTGTGATGGGGATACATTCTAAGAAATATTTTAGGTGATTTTGTCATTGTATGAACATTATAGGGTGTACTTACACCCATAACCTATTACATACCTATACCATATGAAATAGCTTACTGCTCTTAGGCTACAAACCTATTCAGTGTGTTACTTCCTGAATACTATAGGTAGCTGTAATACAAACATGTGAATAATGCATTGTACTACATTACAATGACTATGATGGTTACTAGGTGATAGGAATTTTTTAGCTCTGTTTTAATCTTGGAACCACCATGGTATATGTAATACATTGTTGATGCATGACTGTAGGTCATAATTAGCCATAAGAAAGAATAGCTGCGTTAGTCATTTGTGAGTTAGTACCATTAATATAACATTTATTGTGGAACCACCTCACTCCTGGTTACTTCAGAAAATGGCAAAGAAAATAAGTTTTTGACATTGTGGGATTTATATTCCAAAGAAGTGTACATAATTTAATGGGGCCATGTTTTGGAACCTTGTGGTACTAATGTTTTGCCAGTTTTTAACCCTCTGTTATGATCTTTATACATTGACTTCTAAAAGCATTGCCTAGGCAGAGGAAAATAAAACTAGTCATGTTGAAAACCGTGAACTGTATGAACTTGGAAGATCACCAAAGATAAGCATATCTAAAAGTTATTGATTAGATCTTAAAATGCCAGTCCCGGCTGTTTCTGTGTTAAATTTATCTATTATAAAGAAGCTCCAATAGAACTTTGGAGTCATATCAAGGTAACAATCTATAAATCATAGAATTAATGGTTGGTAGGCCTGTGAAGAACTTCCATCGTATGCCTCAAGCCCCTCAGAGGACAGTTTGCTAACCATAGAGAAAGATGGTATTTATTACTCATTTCCTCAACTAACATCCTATTCTGATGTCAGTAGTATAGGAATTGCACTTTGTTCTGTATACCATGTGTCCAATATATCATAAGTCTCATAGTCATGTTATACCCGTAAAGCTTTATTGACTGAGGCATGTATTGCTGAGAAGTCAGGTCTATGTCTTATCTCTACCCTAAGAAATAATTTTTTCTTATTATCATATCATTTTCTTATTCTTAGGACAGCATGGTATATTCTTATTCTTCTACATAATCATATATTTGTGTGATTTCTTAAGATAGATGGAGAGATAGACACATAATAAATTTACACTTACAATGCAGGGCCTGCCATATATATCTCTCCTGTATACTTCTTAGTGCCAGTGCAGTAGGCATTTGATAGACATTCGGCAAATATTTATAAAATATAGGACCTAAGATTATGCTTGACACCTTATGATTTATAAATTATTTCTATTTTTCCAGTCACCTTCATATATTTGTGATTTCCCCCTCCCATCTCTGGCAGGTGTTATGATGCTACAACTTCTGGAAAAAGTAATTGAATTGGAAAATTGGACAGAGGGGAAAGGCCTCATTGTTCGTGGGGCAAAAAATACTTTCTCTTCAGGATCTGATCTGAATGCTGTGAAATCACTAGGAACTCCGGAGGCAAGTGTTATATGAATTATGCATTAGATTCTACATGTTTATTAGACATGTATGACTATGACATTTATATTTTACTAATGGTTATTATGATGACTGTAATAACTTTCAAAGGATTATAGGGATATTTTGGTTTGTTTTCTTTTTTAGAATTATAGGAGGAACAATATAACAAGCAAATGATTCTGAGGTTTTACTAGTAGTATATCTGCAAAGGGCTCTTGTTAAAAGCTTTGAAATTACTATAATTTCTAGTTTAGCAGAACACTCTCAGTTGTGTTAGATATTTTGGAGGGATTCTCTCTCTCTCTTGCTGTTAATGTTGCTCTGGCCCCCTCAAATGCCCCACTTTGTCTCTTTATTTTTAAGGTGAATTGATTTCTTTTTTAAAAATATTTTAAGTTTAGAATAATTTTAAATTTACAGAAAAGTTGCAGATGGAATACAGAGTTCCTATGTACCCTGCATCCGGTTTCCCCTTTTGTTAACGTCTCATATTCCTGTGGTACATAGATTTGTTGCTACTAATGGACCAATATAGTAGTCTGTTCTCACACTGCTATGAAGATCTACCTGAGACTGGGTAATTTTTGAAGGAAAGACATTTCATTGACTTACAGTTCTGCACGCTATACAGGAAGCATGACTGGGAGGCCTCAGGAAACTTACAGTTATGGTGCAAAGCAAAGGTGAAGCAAGCACATCTTACCATGGTGGGGCCAGAGGGCGGGGGAAGTGCCACACATTTTTAAACAACAAGGTCTCATGAGAACTCATTCACTATCACAAGAACAGCAAGGGGGAAATCCACCCCCACAATCCAGTCACCTCCCACCAAGCCCCTCCTTCATCCTTCAACACTGGGAATTACAATTTGACCTGAGATTTGGTTGGGGGACACAGAGCCAAACCATATCATCCAACATTGGTACTTTACTATTAATGAAACTCTGCTGTATGATTTCATTTATATATGGAATCTAAAATAGTGAAACTCTGCCTAGCATGGTGGCTCACACCTATAATATGAGTGCTTTGGTAGGCTGAGATGGGAGGATTGCCTGAGACCAGGAGTTCAACACTAGCCTGGACAACATAGCCAGTCCTGTCTCTACAAAAAAATAAAAAAATTAGCTGGGTTTGCTGGCACATACCTGTAGTCCCAGCTACTTGGGAAGCTGAGGTGGGAAGGCTGCTTGAGTCCAGGAGCTTAAGGCTTCATTGAGCCATGTTGGTGTCACTGCACTCCAGCCTGGGTGACAGAGTGAGACCCTGTCAAAAAAAAAAAAAAAGTGAAATTCAGAGAAGCCAAGACTGGAATGGTGATTGTCAGGGGCTTGGTGGTGGGGATGGGCAGGGATTGATGTTGAGTGTTCTTGTTACACATACACACAAATTTAATATTAATAATAATAATAAAAGGGGTGGGAGGAAACTTTGGGAGGTAGTGTATATGTCTAGGGCTTTGATGGTGGTGATGGTTTAATGGGTATATACTTGTCCACAGACTCATCAAGTTGTATACATTAAATATGTACAGCTTCTTAACCTGATAATGATAATTCAACAAAGTAGTTAAAAAAAGAAAAAAGAAACTCCACACTTCATTCATATTTCAGTACTTTTTCTACTGGTGTCCCTTTTCTGCTTCAGAATCAAATCCGGGATACCACAGTACCTTTAGCTGTCATGTTTCAGATTCCTCTTATCTATGACAGTTTCTCAGACTTACCTTGTTTTTCATGACCTTGGCAGTTTTGAAGAGTACTGGTTAGATATTCTGCAGAATATCCTTCAAATGGAATTTGGTGTTTTTCTCATATTAGACTGGGGTTGTGGGATTCTGAGAGAAAGACCAGAGGTAAGCTTCTATTTTCATCACATCACATCAAGGGAATATGCTGTCAAGGTGACTTATCACTAATGATGTTAACCTTGGTCACCTGTCTAAGGTAGTGTTTGCCTGGTTACTCTTATTTTAAATTTACTTTCCATACTCCACTCCTTGGAAGCAAGTCACTAAGTTTAGTCTACACTCAAGGGGGAAGGGAAAATAAATTCCATCTCCTGGAGGGAGGACATATATGTCCATTATGTAAGGGGGATTTGGGTCTTCTGCCCCATTTATTCACATACTTATTTATTCAGTTATTTATATCAATATGCACTCATGGATATTTATTTTATATTCGTTATTCATTTGTTGCTCAAATTGTTCCAGCTTTGGCCACTGGGAGCCCAAAGACCAAAGGCCCAAAGTCCTGTCTTCCTTTGACACATCCTTTTGTTTTTTGAGTATTCCCTTACTTTCTAGTATTATAAGATACTCCAAGTTAATCTTGTATTTTCCCTGCTCCAATTATGTAATGAGTGATTTCTTCAAGGAGTCCTGGTTATGGAAAATGGTAGAGGATGGTGTTAGAAACTAAGATCTAGGTGTTAGGTGTTTCTTTTTTTCAAGTACATTGATATGTACATTCCTGAGTTAGTTGAGCCTACCTGTGACTATAATAGGATCAAGAAAAGCTCTTAATGCACAGTGAGAAGTCTTGGGTTTAGACATAGGTCTACCACTCAGCGCCACTCAACTAAATGAGAAAGTTGCTCAGCTTCCTCTTAACCTTAGCTCCATGGGATATATAAAATCTATCTCACTAAAATCTATTGAGGATTCAGTTAGCTATTCTGAAGTGCTTTGTAAGCTAGAGGGAGCTACTGTGACATTTTACATAGGTAATATAAATTAATAATATTAAGATGATAGATCAGCCAGGTGCAGTGGCTCACGCCTATAATCCCAGCACTTTGGGAGGCCGAGGTGGGCGGATCACGAGGTCAGGAGATCAAGACCATCCTGGCCTACACAGTGAAACCCTGTCTCTGCAAAAACACAAAAACAAAAAATTAGCTGGGCGTGGTGTCAGGTGCCTGTAGTCCCAGCTACTCCAGAGGCTGAGGCAGGAGAATGGTGTGAACCCAGGAGGCAGAGCTTGTAGTGAGCCGAGATCGCGCCACTGCACTCCAGCCTGGGCGACAGAGTGAGACTCCGTCTCAAAAAAAAAAAAAAAAGAGATGATCCATCAAATTCAATATCATTACTTTTCCTTTAGCAGTCATATGAAGTCAGTACTTTTGTTATTGTTGTTTATTTGTTTCGCTTTTTAAAAATGAGGGCGCAGTAGTGTGAAGGGCTGAAAAAAATGAAGGACAGGAAGATTAGCAATGAACAAAGGTGGTCATCATTAAAATCAGCAAGAATTTGAATGCCTTTAAGTGGAAGCTCTTTAGCATCTCATGATAAGAAGTTTTACATGAGGTATGTACATAAAGCACCTAGTTCTGGCACATAGTAAAGTTCAAGAAGTAGTAACAACTTTAAAAATATGCTTTTGAATTACCCTGATAGAGTAGAAATGCTATCATCTTCCTTTATCAATCTTACAAGGAACCTGTTTTTCATGAATTCAGTGCTCCTTCCCCCTCTACCACATCTTCTAGGAGAAAAAAAGGAAATGAAATTAGAAAGGGAAAAAAATAAGTAATATTTGTTTCCATTTAATTATAGATGTGGGCTGTAGGTGGGTAATAAAGTTTTCATGATATTGCACAAGTCTCATACCACTGTATGTAGTATATGATTATTATTTGCATATGTGAGAAAGAATCTTTCAGATAATCAGAACACTGGCTTTGATAAACTTGGATTTGAAAGCTGGTTTCAATACTTTCTGGCTAAGTGATTAGGCAAGTCACTTAATCTTTCTAAATCTTATTTTCCTAATCTGTAAATGAGGATTATTGTAGATATTTCGCTGAGCTATTGTGAGGATTCAAGATAATATATATAAAGTGCCTACTAGCGCTGTATCTGAAAAAGGTAGCTATTATTTTTATTTCAAAGATGTTGAGATTAATAAACATTTTCATTAATGAGATGATGCATAATTTGTAGCACTCCGCTAGACTTAAATTTGTGATGTATCTGAATGGTTATAGCACTAATCTGGAAATTTGAAAAGACAGATTTTTTCCCCCAAGATCTAATTATTAGCTATGTCACCTGCAAGTCATTCGATTATACAGGTTGAGTATCCCTTATCGAAAATGCTTGGAACTATAACTATTTCAGATTTTACATTTTTTCAGATTTTGGAGTATTTGCATATGTGTATATATATATATATATAATGAGATATCCTGAGAATGGAACCCAACTCTAAACAAAAAATTCACTTATATTTCATATACACCTTAAACACACAGCCTAAACGTAATTTTATACAGTGTTTTCAGTAATTTTTTACATGAAACAAAGTTTGTGTACATGAGGTCAGCTGTGGAATTTTCCACTTATGGTATCATGTCAGCACTCAAAAAGTTTTAGATTTTGGAGCTTTTAGATTTCAGATTTTAGATTTTGGAGTGTTTAGATTTCAGATTTTCATAGCTCAACCTATATATGTGTATTTTTCATCTCTTGAATGGTTGTATCACTGTTCACCTTAGTTCATGAAAGACACTGTTAAAGACAGAATGATATAATAGACTCTTGTGGGTTTGATAGAAGCTGGTTAGGAAAACATCTCTAAAAAGATGAAGGGTTATTTTACTTTCTTATTTTTTTCTAGTTAGAAGGTTGTTTCTGCCTCTTTAGATCATGTGGCCACTATTCTTTTTCTATATATTTAAAGATGGAAGTGGAAACATGCTCATTGCTTTATATATACATCATTATGTATATGTAGTATATATACACCATTGGTCTGGCATAAGTCATGCAGGAAAACATGGAGAGAGTTTTTATTCCAGCTTCAAATAAGGAATCACTTAGTAAAGTTTATTCTTTCTAGTACCTACATTCTCCAAGTAATCTGCTTTTTTCAACGCCTGAAGTAAATCTTGATTGACACCTGAGGAGTAGTATTGCTGCAAGTGTTTGTCACTTGTTGCTATATACATCTGCCAGTCTCATCAAGGAAATGTAGAATTGTGAATCTGCTTTA